CGATAGTCTCTCGTGGTACGGAGTTTCCCCGAAGAAGCAATCAGTTGTCATAATTGGTGTTAGTTTAGAGCCGTAGACCTGGTTTTTTTTTTCATGATGGATTGTTTCCCGTGTGGATGATTAGACCAAAACGAGAAACTATATTCTTTTCCGTATGTAGAGCAACCCAAAATAACATCAAAGGAAGGATTCTGTGTGGGACGTCTTCGACGGAGTTCCTCTGCCTGCTGGGCCAACTATGCTGCTGTTTTGTGAATAGCGTCATTCAATACAAATATCCAACATAAATAAATAAATCTAAAATATGTCTACCTCAGAAACATACATGTGATTAGCACAATATACACTATAAATAAATAAACAACTTCTAAGATTCTATAAGTTAAACATAAATTGCATTTTCTACTCTCGTTCAATTTTTATCAATTTGTGTTAGTACTATTAAAAAGGCGGTATAAATTATTTATGTCATCGTATGTTATATAATGACTTCATAATCTCCTAGTATTTTAGGCTTAAATTCTGATTTATATTTTCATTGTTTCTTTCTATTGTCTTTTTCTAAATTTAACAAACTCCTTGACGTTTTAAGGAACGGTGGAGTAATGGATAGCGACTCGGTTTGATAAATTGGAGGGCCGAGTTCGAATTCCTTTCGAATCAATTACATTCACTTACGCGCTAATACCCTTACGAAAGGTTTGAATCCTCTTTTCCTTCCTCTCCCTACCAACTATGAGTAAACAACAGGGCGAAGTGGGTTCTGTAGTCTTGGATGGCAACTGGTCTACCGCAGAAAGAAATGGCAACCTACTGCGGGAAAAAAATCTGCCTCGTCAGTCATGTATCGAAAAATGTATGATCGCCTAAGCGTATATCACACATGGCATATAACTGAGTGACGTTTGTTTGTTTTTATGTATTATTTCGTAATCTGGTTTGGTTCTAGTGTTTGTACTTACCTAGTATCTTATTTTAAAAAAAAACAGTTAATTTTTTTTTGGAGCTTCTAAAACACACCGTAATGTATATAATGTTTATATACGTATATTATATATGTTTTAAAGGTTATCATAGCTCCCATTGTCTATAAAATGCTTCCGTGGCACGCATCTCAAATAACCTCTGACAGCTAAGTCCAGCTCCAAGCTGGATAATGGGTGGAGGCAGAAAACTGGCATCTTATAAACAGCTGTTTCGAAAAGATGGAGCTCGACAGCCCATGAAGGCAGTCCAACTTTGGCTCCCCCACCACAAAAAAAAAGAATAATAGGATTTTAAACAGTAGCTTCGAAGGCGGTTGGCTGTCAATACAGACGACCTTCCAGCAATTCATTCAGCCAAGCCGTCCTCAAAGGTAATGCAGTGTATCCCTTTGGATTTTGTCCTTACGGCCATGATGCGGACCATCGCTCGGGCTTGCGCACTAGAGATAGAGAGGTCACTCCAGCTTCACCATAAAAGGACTGAATTTTGATCAAGGGCGTACTTTTGCCTCATGAGATAAATAAGTGCCCACCGTATATATATATATATATATATATATATATATATATATATATATATATATATACGGTTTATATAGTATCCGATTTCTTTTTTAAATTACGATTCCAATGTAATAAATTATAACCATGGAATATAAGTGTTTGAGCATTTTATATTATATTCTTGCTCTGTCCTGGACATTAACTTCTACCTGGATTCTATCCTCTTGGAATTTATATATATATATATATATATATATATATATATATATATATATATATATATATATTACGACATTTTTATGTTTATACATTCTTTTATAGATACAAATATTTAAGTAAATGTTGTTTTATAATAAACAGTATTAATAAAATTTACCGGCCTGAATGTCCGAGAAATTTTTCCTACAAAATATATGACCTACAACATGAATCGAACCTGTATTCTACGCGGAACCGTCATATAACCTGACGTGCCTTAACCGATTGGGCCACTAATATTTTTTTTTATAAACATATATATATATATATATATAAATATTAGTGACTCAATCGGTTAATATATATATATATATATATATATATATATATATAGAGAGAGAGAGAGAGAGAGAGAGAGAAAAGAGAGAGAGAGAGTATCAAATGGATTAAAACTCATCAGTGAGTTAGACGTCCGGTTGCCTGTAGCTAGAACTGGAGTCATTCAGAAATTCTACCCCTAAGCCACTGGCACACAGCAGGGATGAAGGTGAATTCACGCGTATATATATATATATATATATATATATATATATATATATATATATATATTATTTATACGGTGTGTTGAATCATACAATGTTTCTTTTCCTGTTGCCTTTTTTGTGGTATGTGAGTGTTGCAAAAAACACTAAATTTTAGGGATGTTTCATAATCTTTCTTGGCATCACCCTACAATAATAAATCCAAAAACTATAAATTTCGTATAATTATATTTCCAAACCAACACAAATTAATAAATAAAGGATAAGAACTAAAAAATGCCGAAACGAAAACAAATTTTTACAACAATTAACTCAAAGACTTATACAAATGGATACAATAAATGTACCCATACCGGAGTGTCAACTTTCATGAGAAATGAAAGCGGGGAGGGGTAAAGACGTAATTTAACCGAATGCGGAACTAGTCTAGCTATAAGCTTTGAGGATTTCCTACATAAAATACTGTAGTTGAAATATAAGAAGCCTCTTTAAGAAACTAGTAAATAATCTAAACATATAGAATTATTTGATAAATAATATGACACCGTTAAATAAATATCATTCATATAAGATGTTAATAATATCAACCAATCAATATAAAATGTCAAAAATACTAACTAAATACTAATACATCCGTATAAAATGTTAATAACACTACCAGGAGATCAATACAGAACTAAATTAAACCCAAATTAATCACACAAATAGAAAGATAAGCCAGATATGGTGCGAGCAGTTCAACTAAAATCTAAGAAAAACATTGTCAAATTCAAAAGTTTAACTGAAGGTAGACTGTGTTTACAATTTACCGTTAATTCGGATCTTTGGTTCAATAAAGAATTTTATCAAAGAATCTGATAATTTCCAATATTTTACGCAAACAGAGAAAACATATAAGGATCTACATGTCCTTACCATTTTTTAAATTTTCCATTTCACTCTAAGAGTTTTATTATCATCTTTGAAACTTAAAAAAATATTTAGAAAGTAATGTATTATTTCTATAAGTAATATTGGTGAAGGACAAGGTATGTTGATATCACCTCGTCTTAAATGTGTTTCTGTTAAATATTTTACTAAGAAGGTTACTTTTAGGGAAATCAATTAAATGAAGGAACTTCTGGCCTGACTTAGTACTGACCAATTGGTTAAATGTAAATTTATAATATATCATTTGTTGTAACGGAGAAAGGGTTACTGAATGAGGAATAACCAAAACGGAGGTTTTAAATGAAATGGTAATCTTTATAACATCAACAAAATATAATACTCGCCAGTGCCATGAAATAGGTAAACCATTGCTGGTAATGAACAACTTAGACAGCATATTACACCAACTTACATTAGTGTACAAAGCGCGTAAATCCCTCCTTGAAGGGATTTCGCATTATTTATCATCTCACAGTTGCGTCTCTGTCTTTGGGCAGAGTGCGCTCAGGGGCTTCTCTGTCTGAGGACAGAGGGGCAACTGAAATTATACTGAAGAGGTGCCCAGCCCTGGAGAACAGCTGCCCGAGGCCGCGCCCACCCATTGCACAAGAGGGAGGGATCGGTGCTCGCACCGAGGCCAGCGCAACTGACAGTTGCGGGGGCTGAAGGGAATTTTTGTACGCGCTCGGGTCCCCACATTAATCCGGCGCTCGGGTCCCCACATTAATCCGGCCTTGTATCACATTTCATTCTCGTGGGGGAATGAGTAAACACCACGTATTTATGAGCATTAGGACATACCCATTAATGTTCATAGGTACGGTATATAAGATCATTTATAAACAGTACAAAACAGAATAGGGATAAATAAATGGCAGATTAGTTTTATAAACATCACAATACGCACTATGCATATATAGATTCAGAATATATTGACTGTATGTGACCGAAAATAGATAGATATGAACTGAATTAGATAGATATGAAAAGAATACTATATTATCTATCTATCTATCTATCTATCTATCTATCTATCTCTCTCTCTCTCTCTATATATATATATATATATATATTTATAAAACTAAATATATATATATATATATATATATATATGCATGTTTATAAAACTAATCTCCTCCTTATTTATCTATCTATCTATCTATCTATCTCTCTCTCTCTCTCTCTATATATATATATATATATATATATATATATATATATATAGAGAGAGAGAGAGAGAGAGAGAGATCGATAGATAGATAAATAGATAAGGAGGAGATTAGTTTTATAAACATGCATATATAAATTCATAATAACTGTATGTGAAAAATAGATAGATAGATAGATATCATAATTGAGATAATGAACAGACTGTGATAGATAGATAGATAGATAGATAGATAGATAGATAGATAGATATAAAAGAATATGCAGAAGTAAGGAGGGGCGTATGTATTACCCTTGCATAAACATTTTACAAAAGAATTCAAATAATAATGTGATATTTGATACCTTAATCCCAGAGCATCACCGTCTGAAACATTCGAGATAATTTAACACGTTGCAATTTTTTTTATTACAGCAGAACACTGTGTGATCGTCCTTCAAATTGAAACGCTTGGGGTCGAGCGTATATCATAGCTATCATAACTTTTCTGTCTTTCTCCTTGATAAAAAAAATGTCCTCCTCTCGTGTGAATGCACACAGAGGATATCGGCCACTTCAACTGTAATTCTTTGTTGAAAGACATTCATTTTAACTAAACATTATTTGTTTGTGTTTAAAATTTTATTTTTAACGAAAAAAAATGAAGTCTTGTTGGTCGGATGGGATTGCGTA